AGGTCCATCCAGTCCAGCACCCCATTCGCATGGTGGCAACCCACCTATACGCAGGCTCTCTCAAGCAGGCTGGACACAGGACTCTGCCTGCCCAGGCTCCTTGACAACTGGTGTATGCAGGCAGGCCACCTCCGGTGATGGAGGTAGCCACAGCCAGCAAGACTAGTAGCCACTGATAGCCTCCTCCTCCATTCCTTTTAAAAGCCATCCAGATTGGTGGTCATCACCACTTCCCACCGTGATGGGGATTCCATAGTTTAACTATACATGGGGTGAAAAAAATACTTTCTTTTAGCTTTATGGGATGATCTCAGGTTCTATTATAATGGGAGAGAAAGAAAAATGTTTCCTTCTCTACTTATTCTGCTTTATGTGTAATTTTAAATACTTCTATCAGGTCTCCCCTTACTCACCTTTTTTTCCTAAGCTAAACAGTCTCAGTTGTTGTAGCTGCTTTTCATTTGGGAGCTGCTCCAGCCCCTTGATCATTTTAGTTACCATTCTCTGCACTTTTTCCAACTCAATAATGTCCTTTTTCAGGAAAGACAAGCAGAGCTGCACACAATATTCTATGCGCAGGTGCATCAAGGACATGTATGTATGTATGTATTTATAATGTATAAGAGGAGTACTGTCTTGGCAATTCTGTTTCAGTTCTGATCCTAATTATGCCTAACATGGAGCTTGCCTTTTTTCACAGCTGCCGCTCATTGGGTCAACATTTTCATTGCGCTGTTGAAGATCCCTTTCATTCCCAGTCATTGCTAGCTCAAAACTCAGATATTGGAAGCTGGTTTTTTGTTTGTTTGGTTGGTTTTTGCTCTAATATGTATTTATCCCTCTCCATTACTGCAGTGATCCTGCTGTTGCTCCCTATTACATAAATTGGATAACAAGATGAGACAGAGAACCAGAAGGTTCCCTGAATCTTAAACAGACTTACAGTAATCATGACACCTTGTCCCTTTTATATACCATAAAAACACAGGCCAAGTTTGTTAACCATGGATTGTTTGGGGGGGGGGGTGCATGAGAATTAGCATGCATACTAGCTCCTGACTACTCAATTGTTTCCAATGCAGGTTTATGTCACTTTGGCCACAATCAGACCAGGACTGCCACCTTTTATCTGGCTGGCTCCTCTACCTTTACCAGGAGTGTTCCAGGCAGATGTTTAACAGGTGAAACTTAACATGGAGGGACTTTGATAGGGAACGCTTCACTTGTTCGTATTTCTGGTTGCCATACAACTGCTAAAGGGATGGAGTCCCACCAGAGAGAAAACGAGTGACAACACTAAGAGCTGACAGCACCAGTATCAGTACAAGTTGCCAGGGGTAGCAGCCCGGGCGTGCAAAGCATGCCGCACCATCAGTAGGGACGACATGTAGGAGCAGTGCTGCAGTGAGGAGGCCAGGCTGGAGACATTTGTGGTCCCCATGTCTGGTGGGGTGGAAAAACAGAAGATTGTCCTAGGATAGGAGCTGGAGTTCATACAAGGTTGCCAGCTAACCCCAAATACTAATATATACAAGCTGGCTTGAGTTTCTGCTTTTAATAACTTCTAGATCAGTAGAACCTTTCCAAGGTATGGAGATAATCCAAATTGTGTAGGCAAACAGCACACATCTGTTTCTCACTCCCTATTACCTGATTAAAATACACTTGTGCTTTGTGCGTCTCAAATATTATTTGGTTTATCTATCTTGGTCACTAGGGAAAGCAACCAAAGCAGTCACAGGCTGCTTAAACTAGAGAAGATGTCATCTAAAAGAGGACGAATTAAACTCCTCCCTGCACCAAGGCTTCCCTGAGGCCATTTTTGGAGCCTCAGAACATGTGCAAGTGCATGAATTGAATTAATATAATTTACTTTCTATCTAGTTTGTCCTGAAGTTCTCAAATAGACAAGCTCTGTGCTCATATGCCCTTGTGAAGGCCCACTATAGTGAAAACTCACAATCTGGACAAAAGAGAGCTATAGAACATGGGAAGTTGCTTTAGACAAAGCCAAGCCTTTAGTTCATTAGTGTAGGATTGTCAACTGCAATGGCAGCTCTCTGAGTTTTTGCAGTTCTGCTTTGTGATGTGAGGAAGTGAACTTGGGGCCTTCTACACACAAAGCAGTAATAAGCCATGCCTTTTCAGCAGCCAGCCCTTCCAAGGATGCAATCACACCAGGCCATATTCTAGTTGAATATATTTCCCCAACTTCAATTATCAAATATCTTTCTAAAGCTGCTGTTCTAAGCATCTCTACAAGGGAATGTGTCCCATTATATTGTGGAATTTACTGCTGGATAAACATGTGCTTAACATATAAAGCCAAGTCCTGCCTCCCCTGGGTATGAATGGGAGAAGGATGTTCTTGACAAGGCATCTGTTCTGGCTCCATCTGCATTTGTGACCAAATCCTACCATGTAGTTGGACAGAGCTACTGTTATCATTAGCATTTAGGTAAGGAGGTCCTACAAAAGCAAAGGGTTTAGAGTAAAAGTAATTTAGTCTTACTGAAATGAATCAGCACTCCAAATACTTCGATGAAGTATTTCCAAGGTAACATAGTCTGCGTCTGTGGCACTGAGACATATTCTGTTGTTGAGTTATTGCTGAAGTAAGCTACTTGACAGCACTCTGGCAATGTGGAGAGTTAAAAAATGCTCACTGTTGAAGTAAATTTGTGTTCAAAAGCAACCACAGTTTCAAGTGCTTGAGCACTTCCATTCACAGCAACTTCTGCTCCAGAAACACAACAACAATTTATGGCTGCAATTCAAGGCCCTTTGTCATCTAAAAGATGTTTCCAACCATGGCTTGTCATCTTCCATTTATGTTTTATCCCCTCAGCAGGAACCTAGTTCAAAATGTTGCATTATCCCTTTGCATCTACACCTCTTCCTGCTAACATTGCAGGCTTGTAAATTTGTGGTGAGGCAGAGGCTGCTTTTCTTAACAAATATTGGATTTACTTAGTAGTGCTTATACACCGTTCTGTACCCCAGTACATTTAAGGGTTTGGGGAGGAAAACTTGAAATGGGTTAGTATTACATTTTACCAGCTTACATTTTCTACTAAATGAAATAAAGAAGGTGACTATGGCAGACAAGTGTATAGGTGCGGTAGCACAAATTTAGATTTGTTTTCTTTTAAAAGAAAGGATATGGTAAGGAGGGTTGTGATAATTGGGTAAGAGCCAAAGCAATACTGCTGTTCAGACCATTCAAAGGACAGTGTCTTGTTCTGTAATAAAATACACGTTTTCATACAAAAAAAATCTCAGGAAATAAAGTGCTGAATGCTGACCTTGGATGTGGTGCAACCTAACATCCTACCTAGCCTTGGATGTTGCCTAAACAGAATAAATAGAAACATGTGACCCCTTACGTTTCAAATTATCTATTCCGATTTTCATAGGGGAGTGTATGTCTGCAAATCTGTGTTGATGCCCTGCTTCATGATTTGGAAGCAACAGCAGAAAAAGAAAAAATCCCCAAAGGCAGGAGAATTTGAGGAATGATGACAGGTTAAAACTATCAAAACTGCCTAGTGATATTGTCAGTGTACATCATTGCACAATCCACTTCTGCTTGCACCTTCTTAAAAGTTTGTTCAAAACTGGGAAAAGTGCAGAGAAGGGACAAGAATTACCAGAGCCCCTGTTTAAGGACATCATAACATATATATAAAGGCTTTTGAAAGGAGATAAACTTGGTAGAGAGCTGTAGGAGTATGATGAAACATGTAGAGAAAAGCTTTTTCTACCATGAAAACTCACAGTTCTATGGAACTGTCTATGGAACTCACAATTCCTGGGATAATGCTTTTTGTACAGATGTCTCAGCTAATTCAGAAAAGAACTGCAACAAATATTTGAAAGCTGGGCAGAGGGCAAGCTGAGCAACTAAGAGTGATTCCTATGTCAATGAGGTTTCTTATCCATTGCAGCTTTTATTCTGAGCTTTATCAGAGCTATTCATGGTTCTAAACCCCATCCCTAAAATAGATTCATCACCGTGGACAAGAAGCTACTGACATAGGAGTCTCAAACCTTGCTGGAAGAATGTGCCTTTGAAGTTCTGCAACATTGTGATTTGTGCTCCTGCAGCTACAGATTTTTGTCTTTTGGGCCACCAAAAATGGGTAGCATTCTGCTCATCCAAACAGGCTTTTATGCCTCATTCACTGCATTTTACAGGGATTCCAGGTGATGATATTCTCTATCCGTGTATATAAGTACATTTTATAAGTAACCCTTCTAAGTTTTCTCATTGTTGGTTCCAACATTTTTTCCTTATGTGCAAGAAAAAAAAGTACTCAGGAGGAAAATACAGATAGCTCCACAATACCTTCTAACTTGTTAGTGCCAGGAACCCTCTGTATGGAAGCACCATGCAGCATCTTTTTCTTTGAACCATGTTCAAAGTTTGTAAACTTCTGGCTGCTGGAAGCCAGAAAGAACAATGCAATGCATGCATCACTCCATAAATGCCCTGTTTATTAAGCAGCTGCATCTAAAGCCACTGCAGCTGAACTGTATCTTGGTTCCTACTGTTCACTGTGGCTCTGAGGCAAGTGTGTTTGGTTGTCAAATGTCATGATCACCCAGGGACTCTAGCAGCAAAGCGTAGCAGCAAGTGTGCTGAACTTGGAGGCTAGAAGCAGCCTGCACTGCCCCCTGCTGAAAGAAAAGGGGAAGCCTGACAACGCAAAAGGCTTGTAGAGAGGAAAACAAAGTCATCTTAGTTTGAAGAATCTCATCATTTCTCTCACATGGAACAACCGAAACCACATCCCCTTTGAGGCCAAATGGAGTAGCATACAGCAAGCTGCAAGGTTATTGCACAGGACAGATGAGGGGTGGGTGGAAGTTTCACACAGAATTCTTCTGCAAGGCATTTCTCCTTTGACCCATCTCCGAAGAAGCAATGTTCCCAAAGAGCTGTGGCTCATACAGGGGCCACAGAATGGGCCTAAGTAGCCTCAAAGTCCTGCAGGCCCTTAAGGGGGCAGGATAATGTGCCACTGCCCTTCGTCACTCTTGATTTCACTGAGAATATTGATCACTGGAAGTGCAGAAGGCTGAGATGCAGGTTGGTTGTGCAGCGAAACAATGGGACTGACGCGTCTGTAAGAAAAAGGTCCTTTTGAATTTTTACATTTTCACTGCCACCCGTGCAAAAGATTTTACCCATGTAAAGCCCCAAGTCCAATTTCTGGCTTTCAAGGTGTAGGGCTAAACAAGTTCATTGGCTGACACCCTGAGAATAAAACAATGAGCTTAAGACTTCTGATATCCCACCTCCTGATTTTCCTTCCATTAACAACAGCTGCCATAAGAACTTTCTGTTCACTTCTTCCCTTCACAGAGGTGGTATCACTGCTGCAGAGCTTTCTATGAGCTCAGAGTGCTTAGAGTTGGCCCCTTGCTGTTTTATTCTCCATGCCTCTGTACGTTCTTCTTGGGCTTACTGTACCCAACCCCTCTGTCCGATTTGCCACCCACTCCCCTAAACCTCCTCGCTGCAAGCCCTTCTTCCAGGACTCCTGGGCTTCTGAGCCAGCTGCAGGAGGTGCCCTGATCAGTAAGCAGATAAATAAGGAAGACAGGTGCCAAGCGAGGAACCGATAGGATGGAAGATGGGAGGAAGAACATTTCAATTGCACTCAAAGAGCTTTCACAGTCAGAACAGCCATCCTCAGCAGTAGCCCCATGCTAAAACTGAATGTTAATTTTGGAGCAATTATATTAGGATAGGTACCCACACCCCACCTACTCACTTTTGGGAGAAAACAGGAGGGAGTGCAATGATTCTGGGTCGAGCTGTCAACACCACCTCCCCGTGACTGGCCTCCACCAGTATGTTCTGGATGGCGTTGTCCAGCACCATCTCAGCCAGATTTGCAAAGGCTGGCAACCTGAAAAGAAAGAGCCGTTCAGTTCCTCCTGTCCAGCAAAGCTGGTGTTTCCTGAATACTTCCCACAGCAAAGTGCCTATCCTACTTTCTCTTATATGTTGGCAAAGGCCATACCCAGGTCTAACCAGGCAGAGAAGGTCCCCTGCCCTGCAGTGCATTCATGGTTGAAAACTTGATTTTCTGTGGGCATACGACTGCCTCTGGCCCCTGGATTCTGATGTGCTTTCTCTGGAACTTGACCATGATCGATTTGGCCATGTCCCTTGGCCACACTTCCCATCCCACCCAAAACCAGCAGCCAGCTTTCATGGGTTTCAGAATCCAATGGCCTGGAGCAGCCTTCTGCTGAGGCCAGATACTAGAGGGCATGGTCCAAAGTAGGCAACTGTGCCAGACACCAAAGCCATATACACTACCTCTGGGACATATGTTCAACCTTTGGGTTTTTAAGCAATGAATAAACACAATCTGCATATTTTCAGACCCTTTTCCTTAGCAAGATAAGTGAGACACTTTCATTTTAAACCAGGTCAATGAAGAGGAAGTTTCTCAGGAAACTAAATCCACTGTGAAAGCTCAGAAATTGTGGCTCCAAGTGCAGGTACTGAACACGGTGGGGTGCATGTGTGACTACCCTCATCTTCTGTAGGGCACAGAATGCAGTGAAACATGGCATGCTGCCGATTAGCTTTTCCAACTCCTGTATTTTTCTGTGGGCTGGGTTTTCATAATCTGTTTCATTACAGAAATATTGACCCTTGAGTACAGGTATTTTACTGGCAATCCCTAGTTAGCGATGCACTTGAATCATGGCTTAGGCTCACCTGATAATAGATTCTTTCTGCTCCCGGAACTGTTCCTTGCGGATAATGACACTTAGGGTCTCTTCAGCATCAACAGTACCTTCAGGAGATGCCTCCCTTCCCTCAGAGTCTTCGCCTTCAGTCCTAGTGCTCAGCTCTGGGGAAGTTGTTGTAAAGGTGCCACCAGGACTCTGCTTCTGTTTGGCTGACTCCTCACTCCAGAACTGGCAAAAGTAGGGTATAGGCTCTGCAAGCTTTCTGATTACTGCTTCTTGAAACTGGGACTCCTCCAGCAGGCCTCTGGGATGTCGGGAAGGACATTTGCATTGGAATTAGACATAAGAATGGGTTGCCTTTGTATGACAAGCCAACATACTTTTGAGACTATCCTAGTGTGCATCAGAGAAGGGCCAAGAGTAGGTGTAAGGACTAGAGAACCTTCCCCAAGTACATTTCTACACATCACACAACAAATCCTGCTTGAATGAGCTATGAGATGTCATGGAAAATTATCACCCTTGCAAGAAAACGTGTGAGTCAGAAAGGCATAACTGATGCATATTTACCATATGCCCATATTAGATGAAATGTTCCCTTCCTCCAGGGATTTGAACTAGATGATGTTCAAAGCTGGAATGATCTAGTAGACTTGGAAGAGGAAGCCCTCCTTACAGCCTGGGGTGTTGCTTGCCTCACTTTAACTTATAAGGTGAGGGCACCTCATAGGGTTTGGGTAGATTTTGGAGTGCAATGGGATAATAAACCCAAGTATATTACCCTGAGCTCCTTGGAGGAGGAGGAGAATAAAATTCTGGTAAACATCTCATCCTCCTCACCCTTCAGTTTTGTGAATCTGAACACCCTCTCACAGATACAGAAACCTCCTTAGTATAACAGGACTTTGGGTATCACATGCACCCACTTGATCACTGTAGATAGCAAGTCCGTCACCAGCTGGGCCTCTTGTTCCATACAGTTTTCTAGTGCCAGCCTGCTTTGATTCTTTGCGGTTCTTCGCTTGCCTTTGTTCGCACTCCCACTGAGAGAACCCCTGCCTGCAGCATCCCTTCTTATTTTCCTCTTCTTCATTTGGCTGGAAAGAGGACAACATGGAAAATTAAAACACCAATGCAAATAATATGACACAAGGCTTCGGCGAATGGGGCGGCATAGAAATTTTTAAATAAAATAAAAAATAAAATAAATAAAGGTGTTTGGAAGCACGGGAACAGGATTCGGTTTCCTGGCTCAGTTTTTCTAAATGTTCCCATTTCTCAGAAAGTGTTGGATTGTTCTGAGTCAACATTGCTTCCCCATATTGCTTTTCCTAATTCTAACATATAAAGCAACTGTCAGACAAGTTCCTAAGGATGCAATTTTTGTAATTTTTATGTACAGCGTATTTTGAAGGAAGGAATTTTGTTGGCTACTAAGTTACCAACAGCATCCCATTACATGTCTGAGTGGCAAGTAGGTAAAGAAGCAACACCTCCTTTGGGGAGAAGACAATGGGAGAAGAAGTTTGCCTCACCGGTAGAGGAAGTGCTGAGGGAGGTCATCTGGACAACTGGCCAAGAAATCATCAATTGAGTGGGACCTGGCTGTAACTCCCAGGTGCATGAGGAAGGGCTTGGGAGGCTCTGGCTTGGTCCACAACCTGCTGGCATCTCTGGGTCTTATGTGCCTCCTCTGGCTGCGGCTGGCAGGAGGGTTAGGCTCACGCATGTTCTTAATGGGAGGAAGAGTCTGTTGAGAAGGAAGGAAGGAAGGACGGATGGATGACAGGCAGGCAGGCAGGCAGGCAGGCAGACAGACGGACAAGACAGTCAGTGTCCTGGATAAAGTAGTTGATGCAAGGATGACAGAGGAGGAGTATGCAAATGTGGGTATGCATTTTCTTTTTGTTTTATATACAGTTCTATATTTGGCCTTCCTTTTGCTCCCCTATGACTTAGTACTAGGTATGAATGGAACTCTCCCTCTCGCACATACTCATTAGGATCATAATTAAATAATGCATAAATACTTACAAAGACAAGTTGCTGCACTCAAAAAGTGTATTTGCCACATTGTAATTAGATGTATGGTATGCCTGGTTACAGTCTCAAAGAAAACTGATTCTCCAGGTTAGAAGCAGGAAATAGTTTTGCACAGCACTGACTGCCTGGCAAACAGTGGTTGTGAATCTGTCTGTCTCCAGAGCAGTTCTGCAACTTCAAAAAACAATACAGATTTTACATGCCAAATGGAGTTCTGTATCACAAAAATATTGAGGTGGTACTTCCATCATCTTTTTAAAAGCCACACAACCTCCCTGGGCAAGAGGGCCTGACAAATAGGTGTTTAAAGTAGAATGTTCAATGCAGTATAAGGGAGAGAGAATCTGGGTTCACCCTTTCAAAGAAGCACATGCTGCCTCCTGTTTTTGAGCACCGCAAATACGCCATGCCCTCCAGGACAAGACCACACCAGATTGCTACCCAGTCTCTCTAACTCTAGCATCAAACAGCACTGAGTATTTCATAACACAATGAATACTTTGCTATCACAAAAATGCCAAGTTCTTAACCAATAGATTAGCTCTGGAATAAGTGCCTCATTGGCTCTTTGCCTCAACCAATTACTTGAAGGAACTCTCAGTTGCATAGAACGATAGACTAGTAGAGTTGGAAGGAGCTAAAAGGCCAAAGGGTCCAATCCTCTGCTATTGCAGGACACTGAGTTACACCATCCCATTTAGATGACTGTCCAGAGATGTTCTGAATGTCGCTAGCAAGGGAGAGCCCACACCTTTCCCTGGTAATAGGTTCCATTGTCATACTGCTCTGACTGTGAGGAGATTCTTCCTGGTGTCTAGTCTAAATCTGGTTTCTTTTCACTCAAGTTCATTTTTCCATGCCCTGCACTCTTTTTGACAGGCTTTCAGGTACTTGTAGAGTGCTATCATAACATCCCTCAGTCATTTCTTCTTGAGATCGAACATGCCCGCTTCTCTCAGTCTTTCTTCATAGGGCTTTGCCTCCGTCCCTGAATCATCCTTGTTGTCCTCTTCTGTACCCTTTCAAGATTTTCTGCATCTTTTTAAAACTTAGGTGCCCAGAACGGGACACAGTCGTCCAGGTGAGGTCTGACTAGTGAGGAGTATGGGGGAACGTCATGTGTTCTAGAAGTGATACTTCTGTCAATGCATCCCAAAATAGCATTTGCCCTTTTTGCAGCTGCATTGCACTGTTGGGTCATATTTAGCTTGTGATCTACAACCCCAAGAACCTTCTCATTTGCAGTATTGTTGAGCCAAGTATTCCCCATCTTGTATTGGTGTATTTGCTTTCTTGTTCCTAAGGGCAGGACCTGGCATTTGTCCCTATTTAATATTATTCTGTTGCTCTCTGCCCTGCATCCTAACTTATCGAGATTAACCTTTCTAACCTATTGAACCCTGTATCTTATCTCTGTCTTGCAAGGCATTTGCTATTCCAGCCAGCTTTGTATCATCTGCAAATTTAATTGTCTTTCCTTGTACTTCCTCATCTAAATCATTAATAAAAATGTTGAAGAGTACCAGTTCCAGGACAGAACCCTTTGACATTCCACCCTTCACTTCTTTCCAGTTTGAGATTGTACCATTAATGAGCACTCTTGGAGTCCAATTTTGCAGCTAATTGGGGATCCACCTAATGGATGCACTATCTAGCCCACATTTGTTAATCAGGATGTCATGAGGCACTTTGTCAAAAGCTTTGCTAAAGTCTAGACAGTTTGTTCCACTTTGGAGGATGGTTATAGTGTACTTTTATACCTTGTATTTCCGGATCTCTGCAAGTGCCTTAAACACTTTTGGAACCTCCTAAAGAAAAGGAAGAAAATTATTGCAATGGATATAAGAGAAGCACAACAATGCTGCTGTTATACAGGAGGATATGGTCAAGTATGTATAAGAAAGCCCTGACATTTTACTTTGTTAAAAGAGCCTTGGGAGGCTGCAATTTTGAGCCCAGAAGCTCAGTGGAAAGAGTGCTAAATGGTTTCTCTGGCAGCCATTTTCTACTTAAAATGCATCTTCCCAAACTGCTTCTCTCCCAAGGGTGTAGGGCAGAGACAGGCAGTTCTTTTGGTCCAGGAGCCAGATTACCACCCAGACCAAACCTAGCATGACATCAAGGGGGCAGGGCCTTGCCTGAAATCCCACTGCCTTCCATGGCTTCACTGGGACACTAGCCACTTTTTCCTTTTACTCTGTCTCTATACAGAGAAAGCAGTTCAGCAAGTGCTTGCAGGAGGCCTGCTAGCACCAGCTGAATCCACCACCTCCTTCCTTCACAGCTTATATCCCAAATGGGGCATAAGCAGCACAGGAAGAGCTCACCTGGACTCAGCCTGGATACCCCCAGCTTAACATGGCATCTGTGGAACATGAGCAGCCTGGGGACTTACGCAGGCTCTGCAAGTCCCAACCAAACACAGTGACATCTCCAGACAGAAGTTGGAGCTAAGATGGGGATTTCTTTCTTCAGCCCAGAGGCAGAGCATGGGGAGGGGGGAGGGGGGTACCCAACCTTCTTCAGGCCATGGACACTGATTAGGGCAAAGCTTGCCTTCTCCTGCTGTAGGGGCAAGGTGGTGTGGGAGATTTTTGGTGGGAAACTGCCTGCAGAGAAATAGTTAAGAAAGAGACCCCTTGTTCCTCAGCTGCCCCTTTGCTGAAAACTGCAGCCTCATGAGATCCCTTTGCATTAAAAGCAGCTGGTACTTAGTCATATGCACTGGTATGTAATATGTGTTTTGTCTTTAAGTCTTCTATCTACCTACCACCTTACATGGCAGGTTAATCCTGTACGCTCATGAACTGCACATCAAAAATAGCCTGGAAATAGAAAGCTCCAAATTCTGCATCCAGAACTTTGATAAAAACCAAAGTAAATGTGCCAAAATAAAAAGTAAATGTGTGAACACAATAGGACTGACTTTTGCAGAGACACATTTAGACTGCCAAGCCATATACAGGCATTGTTCACCTGTAATCTGGTTCAGCAGGGCTAAAACAGGAAAGGGAGGTGAGTATGCATGTTAAGTTAGCTACTTTAAAGACACTTGTGTACTTAGCCTGAAAATCTGAAAATGTAAGGACATTTCATTGTAGATGCTTACAAAGCTTCCAGTATTCTGAATCCCTGCAGAACTTCTAATCACAAATAGGGCTGAAAATAGGCTTCAGCCAAAGAGGCCAAAGAGAGGAAGATCTCTAATGCACCACTGCCTATGGCCCTTTTCCAGCTGCATCCTACTCATGTTGCAGGCAAATGCCTCCATAACTTCTGCAATGTACAGTGTGAATGTGAGAAACATATGTTTAAAAACTGTGTGTCATACAAGTGCACTATTCAGGAACCTGCAGTTGACTGCAGATCTTCACCAAATATACATTAAGTAGAATGCCAAGCGCACTTTTACATAATTTGTGAAATGATCTTGGGTTTCTGTGAATGTGGATCTAGTAAAATTCTATGAAAGTAGTGAAATGTATCAAGCTATGATAAGGTTTGCACAGCAGTACAGAACAAATGGAGACTGAATCTTCTTCTTCTCTGTTTTCTTACTTTGCTTGGAGTTCATTTTCAAAATGTGGTATTAGCATGTCTAGACAGATTAGGCCCGATGCCAGTCCTTTTATAAGTGAGAAGGAGACAGCACTCATGCATGGGGGCAATTCACTGGGCCATTCTCCTGTGAAAGCCCCACTGAAAAGGATGGGAGTTAATGATTTTTCACAGGAAGGCTTCCTAGAGGATTATGTTCTGTGTTAATTAGTGTGAGGGAAATGTGGCTTGGATTGGTGTGGGCTAGACCTACACAAAGTGTAGATGCTTAGGGAATCTGACTATCAATTCTTTCCTATTTCCCCACGTTCATTTGAAAAACATATGTGGGAAAGCAACCTCAGAGCAGCACAATAACTTTGCAATGTTTGAACTGACAAATGCTAAAACTATGAGGAAAGGCCTGGCAGCTTTCTAAAATGTGTGACTCAAAGTCATTCTCATGTCTGACTATACCACCGTTATGAAGATATTAATCTTTTATCATTTTTGGCCACTTTCTTACCCACTTTTGAATAACATGACATAAAAAACAGAAGCATGTGATGGAAGAAGCAGTTTAAGAATGAATATCCCAGCTAAGCAAATCCTACTGCTCCTGTTTCACTGGTAACATCTCTGGTAAGGCAATGCCCTTACATCTGGAGTTTCTCTCAGGTGCTTCTTCATGTCCAGATCTTTCTCTGTGATGGTAAACTCCACAGCCTGCCGTTCCTTCTCCATTTCCCATTTTTTCAGGTCTTTCTCATACTGATCTAATGGGTGCTGAGTATAAATCTATGGGGCAAAAATTATGGTTATCTCAGTATTCTGCAAGTTTGCATTCCTGCTACTTTTATTCTCCAGTGCATTGAGAGCAAGGTGAGCTTTGCCAGTCTACAAATAATAGGTGCCTTCTAAGTCTCAGTTTAAGCCCAACTCTGCTTAACTTCTCAGCTGAAAAAGAAATAAGGATAATAGCAAGTGTTAGTCCTGTGTAGAGTAAGCCCCTCAAAGTGAATGGGCCAGTCGCCAGAAGAGTCTGGACACAAAGAAACCCTCACCCTAAAACACCAATTAATTAGGAGAGGGACAAACACCATCCCATCCAGCCAATGCACTAAGGTAGAGCTAGCACTTGTAACACTTCTGTCAGGATTTTGGGGGCTTTTGTGATAGGCAGCATACCAATTCCTGTAGCATCAGTGCAAAAGCATACACCAGCCAACCCTGATTACATGTGTGCATGCACATGCGTGTGTAAGCCACTTTCAGTGCAGCCTCCCTCCCAAAGTGGCATACATCAATAAAGCATATTATAAAAACAAACACTGTAGTAAAAGCTCGGTAATATATAATTGTTGTATAATTGTTATATTTGTATATTTTGTTTTTGTTGTGAGCCACCCCAAGGCTTTGTTGTGATGGGGGCGGCATAAAAATGTTTTAAATAAAATAAATAAATAAAAGCAGCAGCAAATATTCTGAAACAACACCAAACACCAGGATAAAATAAATCTAACAACAGAAAACTAGAGCTACAACCCAGTCTGATAAAACGTAATCAGGAGAGGAACAGAATGAACTAGTAAATTTTCAGGGCCTTCTTAAAAACCTGTAATGATGGGCCTGCCAGGCCTCCCAGCTGAAATTTATTACACAGGTTCTGGGGCCAGTGCAAAATGTGTCCTCTTTTGTAGCCACTCACCTAACTGCCCTTACCAGTGGACAAATGGGATGGGCCTCCCATGTCATCTTCACTGCAGTTACAGGTATGTTAGTGGAGCGATCAGTAACAGCCACAATACAGTGCACACAGGCCCATCCCTTGGAAGGTTAGCCTGTATGACTGACACTAAAACTCCCTGAAAGCAACCGGTCTGGAGTATCAAAGGACATGAGGCTCTCAAGCACCCACTGAACCTCACCTCACAAATCAAATCCACATTGTAGAAGCATGGGTTTTCCCCGGCTTGTAGTGTAAGAACACACTGGGTGCTCTCTCCAGCCTGCACAACTCCAGTCTCCGGAATGATTTTCATTACCTAGAAACAAAGCAAGGGATTGTTATCTCTCTGCGTGTGTGTTTGATTAATGTATACTGCAGCCCCACGAAATGTTTTCAGCACTGTTATTTTTCACTCCAGATATAAATCCACTCCCTCAAATTGCCAAAGGGAAAAAGCATGTGGCTTTAGAGCACTGCATCACCAAAACCCACAAGAGTAGAATGTGACAGTTTAAAATTTGCTGTGGGGTAGTTAAATATGTAAATACGATCAGTACCATGCTTCTCCCTTTAACATGTGCTCACCACCTCTCATTTGAAGCCTATCCATTTGTGTCCCACTCTAAATGAAGCCAAATATCCAACTCTATTGATAAAGAAAGGCCCAAGTCTCTAAAAAGTTTGAAGGAAAGGGAAGAGCTAGGAGATCACCAGGAGCTAGAACAATCAAGCAGATGGAGCTCACCACCATGGCATTCGAAGACCCAGTGTGCCAAGCAAAAACAATGGCCTCATGCTCAGAGGCGTTGTTGAGGAAGAAGAGGCGGCTGCATTTGCTGTAGACAGGGATGTTGCCAAAACAGATTCGGGGCTGAGACAAGTATACTGTCTGGAAAGAAAATGAACACAGGATGATCCTCTGACCCCACAAAACGGGACCAGTTGCCTTCTTTACTTTTTCATAGAAACAAGCCAGCTGACATGCAGTGACAGCTGGTGTCACAGTGAATGACAAACACTCAAGGTCACACTCATTTTAAAAAATAGACCTGATGGATAAACAAAGCAATCCTTATCCAGAGTGAGACCAAGCTTAGCCATGTTGGGTGATGAACTGCCTATCTCATGAAACTGTCTCAGCTTCTAAGAAGGTGGTCATGGCTCGGGAACCCTCTCCTAGCAGGAGGCATAAGAAGGGAAGGATAGATATATAACTTAAAAGTTACTAAATGCCTCCTGCTGACATCTCAGTAAGAATAGTATTCCACATTTACACATAAAAATAGACCAAAACCTCAGCCATTTAACTTTCATTTTAAAATCTAGAGGGTAGTGAAAAAGCCCTGGCTGCAGCATCATACACCCGTTACACATCTTCTTTTGCTAAGAAAAAAATGAACCTGCACTCTATTATCACAAAATGCATGATACTGAGAGGTTCAAAGGAAGCTGAGTCTCAACCATAAAAAGCCTCATGTAGGTCTCCTCTACATAGATTTCCTAACATTCAGTCATACAGCCAATGCACCATGTTTTGTAAGGGTACAATGCTTCCATGCGAGACGTTAATGCCACAGCCATCTGTGTACAAGCAGCAACCTTGGGGATTGTTCTGTTCTTCTTGTTGTTTAGTTGCAAAGTCATGTTCGACTCTTTGTGACCCTATGGACAACATTCCTCCAGCTTCTCCTGTCCTCTGCCATCCCCCAGAGTTCAATCAACCCCACATCCACCTCCCCAGAGATCCCATCCAGCCACCTCAACCTCTGCTGTCCCCTTCTCCTTTTGCCTTCAATTATTCCCAGCATCAGGGTCTTCTTCAGTGAAATCCTTCCTTCTTATTAAGTGACCAAAGTATTTGAGCTTCAGCTTCAGTATCTGTCCTTCTAAAGAACGGGCAGAGTTGATTTCCTTTAGGATTGACTGATTTTATTTCTTTGCAGTCCAAGAGACTCTCAGGAGTCTTCTCCAGCACAATTCAAAAGCATCAATTCCTCAATGCTCAACCTTCCTTATGGTCCAACTCTCACAGCCATACATTACATCTGGGGATTGTTCTGATTCCATGCTAACTCCTCATATCAGCATACCTTAAGACTGCTGACTCTGGTAAAAAGACTCTTTCATGCAATCCAATTGACCTATGTGGTTGCCCTTTGCAAACGCTGTGGCCATGAGGTGGATTCCCCACAGGGTAAGTAGGTTTCTTCAGAAACCATCACACACTTGCAGGGTCTGAAGCTGGCAGTAGAAGGCCACCAAAGGACCAGAGTATGGCATCCCACTGCATCAGGAGTCACACTAGTAACAAACTGTCCTTTTAAAGAATGACTTAGCAAACTGTATTTAGCACTTTAAAATAAAATTGTATGTTTGAACCCTTTAAAGTTTTTTTTTTGAGGCAGCACTTCTATCACCATGCAGATGGTAACACAGTAATTTCTCCCATCTTTATGCCATTATTGCAGGTTGGCAGACAATAGCAAAGACTGCATGAATGGCTCATTAGTATAATACAAGGTGGGCACCCTGCCATAATCTTGCAACAACATCACTATTTCTACTGGGGAAGAATATTTACAAACTGGCTTTCCCAGCAGAGTTGCACATACTTCCAGCCTGCCAAACAATTGTGTGGAGGACTCAGAAGAGCACAGATCTGCAGGGAAACAAGGTGTCAACTTGTTACAAATGCAGTTTCCCAGCAGAATTTCTGGGAACATGGTGGCCAGACAGCACTATGGGCTGTACCACAGAGGCAGGGGATCCAGTGGAGGAGGGCAAAACTCCCTCTGGGAGCAACATATGGCCCACAAGCCATGCATTTGCCAGTCTTGGTGCAGCATATTTAGTGTGTGATCCAAATGATTGTGCTATTGCTTATACATGGTTTAAAATAGGCCTGTAGAACATACAACTCCAGGAATACATGTGACTTGATAGTTGTAAACAGTAGCTTGCCAGGTGCCTGAAGGGAAAACAAAAACCCTGGCTTTATATTGATCTGCCTTAAATTAAGCAATTGCACTAAGATCACTGTTGTTGCTCCTCATGGGAACAGAAATTATTATCAGTAAGAATAAGAACTATTAGCATGTCTGTCTGTTAAAGCCAAAGTGCCAAAACCATTAAATGACTGTCTTGCACTTAACATACACACTAATCATGTGTATGTTCCTAGAGCATGACTGCCTGGCGACAGTGACACACGCGCTGGTAACTTCCCGATTAGATTTCTGTAACGCGCTCTACGTGGGGCTACCCTTGAAGACAGTCCGGATACTTCAGTTGGTGCAGAATAGAGCTGCCAGGTTGCTGACGGAGAACTGGGGTTATATGAGAACAACACCCAGTCCCCGTCAGCAACCTGGCTCCCGATTGAAGTCCAGGCCCAATTCAAGGTGTTGGTTATGACCTATAAAGCCCTAAACGGCTTGAGACCTGGTTATCTAAAGGAACGCTTGCACTCATATATGCCCTCCCGCCCCTTGAGGTCAGCAGCAGATGCCCGCCTCTGGGAACCCTCTGTGAATGAGATTAGGAGGGTGAGCACCCGGAGGAGGGCTTTCTCTGCGGTGGCGCCCCATTTATGGAATGCGCTCCCCAGAGAGGTCCGCCTGGCATCTTCGTTATTTGTTTTTCGGCGCCAGGCTAAGACCTTTTTATTCAAAACTTATTTTAACTGTTAATTATTTATTAACTAGGGTTTTTTTTTTAGGCGCGAATGCACTGGGGGGGGGTGTTACTATTGTATTATTTATTGTATAATGTTAGTATTTATGTGTTGTGAGCCGCCCCGAGGCTTTGTTGCGATGGGGCGGCATACAAATGTTTTAAATAAATAAATAAATAAATAAATAAATAAATAAATAAATAATCAGACAATAGGGATGTACACCTTGAATTTATTTTATCTTGTAAATGCATGAATAAATTTTAGGTAATGTAAATGTGTTTGAAGGACTCAGTACCACTTTCAGACACAAGGTGGCAGACGTCCTTAACCAGCACATAGTGTTGTTGTCAATAAAGTCTGAAACCAGGAAAAACTAACAGTCCAAGGGCCAGATGTATACTGTTGTGGATTATCCCTCTCCTCTGGAGGGAACAGGTTGGACAGAACACATCCCTCCAAAAAAAAAGAATCAGTATATCATGGCAAGGGGGTATATCATGGCAAGGACCATGCCTAGGGACGCCAACTGACATGTCCTCACTTGCACAAGACAGACACAATGCATCCAGTTTTGACCACTATGTACATTTTCTGGAAGCCTCTGTTGTTTCAAACTACAGTCTCATCCAACTTGTGTGAAGCTAGGTCTGTTCACTAGTTCAAGATAAAACAAGACTGAATGGAGTTGAACAGCAATCCCAGTGCCTGGGGCTACTTCACTCCATTGGCAATTTGAAATTGGTGTTCCAGTACTTCTGCATGAGACTGGAAGAAGAGTAACCTCTGACACTTACCAGACCAGGAACTGTTAACTTGGCAGAGCCTGGTGTTCTTGCAGTAGACACTACTTTGTCAAACTGTGCCGTCTCTCCCATAACATGTGGGTCATAGCCTATCCCTTGAAAGGTTATGAGAGCAGAGTCCCCTTCAAGGATATGGATGGGCACGTCCACCTGGGCAAAGAAAGGAAGACAGAGCTGTAGCCAAAAGGTTTTTGCTTTGTTCTGGAATTATCGAGTGTTAAAATCCAAGAGGCAGAGGTTGGTCAGAAGCAAATTATATCCACCCTGTGCTGTTAAAGCATATTGTGTACACAAAGATGATGTTTTTGTGCAATAAACAAACATGTTTTTAATCTGTCAGTCATACACACCTATCCTCCTTCAAGGTTGTACCTCTGCTGCACTAATGTTTTCCCAGCATTCAAGCTGCAATATTATGTGGCAGAGAAAAATGCAAGATTGGTTCCCAGGTAGCACATTTGTTGCTTTTCTAATTTTGTGGAATCTTGTTGTGAGTTCTATATCCACCCAGTAGAAATTTCATGTGACATAATCAGTGCTATATAAAAAAGCTCTTCCTATCCCACCCCAAACTGACCCCATTATGTGAACTTTTTAAAAAGGGGTTACTTATTTAGGTCCTCACTAGCAATACACTATATCCTGTAGTTCAATTCCAGTTGAGGGATATTCATCCAACTTTTTCTTTTAAAGTGGCAAAGAAAAGCAAAGCTATCCCACCCCACAAACTCACATATCCCAGTACTCTAGCAGGTTCTGAAAAATCATTTCATTGATAATTATGTGTTCTCGTCTCCTTAGAAGGAACACACATTGGAGCAGGTGTATTGTTAAAGGGGGATGAACTAGAACAAGGTCCACCTTGGAAGAGTATTATTATTGAAAACATGTTTGGTCATCACATCAGGGCTAAAATGCACTTGTGGTGCCTTTTGGAGGATTGTGCAGAAAGGCCAAGAGGCTTTGTCCTATTCCACAAAAATTTTAGCAGTTCACACTGAGAATGCAGCTCGGGACCAAGAATTAAAGGAAGAGTGGTAAAATCAGCAGTAGCAGCAAAGTTGGAAAGATGAAGATGGTCTCAGCCTCAGCAGCAGAGTCACAGCAGTGAACCAGAGGTAAAGGTATCAAAGCAAGAGGTAGGTGAATTATCCATTTCAGTTTCTCTCAGTTTCTTCTTTTCCTACTTTTAACTTAACTTGTCCAGCTTCCAAATCAGATTGAGGTTTGGTTTTTAAAGGTTGTATGAAAAATTATGTGTATTTTCATCTTGTATTTCTGCTAATATACACATTTTTGAATGCACTTTTGCCTAATATATATTTTGCAACAATTCCCCCCCAGTGTTATGCATTTTTGTATGTTACCTTTAATCATATACACACTTCTGTGTGCACTGTTCTCCAATTTTTATTGGAGAACTGCATGGAAAAATTCAGAGAAGTGTGAATGTTGAAGGATAACTGTGTTTTAGTTTATATGTTGGTTTAAAAAATGTGTGAAACTGGGCAGTTTACATTAAAATGCATACCAAATGAATTTCTCCACTTCCCTAATCAAAACTCAACAGGAAAAAAATCAGTTGGAGAAACACAAGTCCTAACTGGCTCGGTAGATAGTATCAAGAATGCCAGGGGATACACATTCTCCAGGAAGAGTTCTTGTTCCTAAAAACGAGAGCCTTACCGAATACATTTTGGCTTCCAGTGGGGAAAAGATCCATTCAGTGTGGGCTGTCAGGCCTGGACCAATCTCTCCTCTTGGGTTCAGGCAGATAAATACAGAATGCTGGTGATTCTCTTCCTGTACTTTGGTCAGAGCATCCACCTGGATTTCATACATGGCACTTGTAGAACCTCCATTGTAGAGTTCATAGATCTGAAAGGAGAGGCCAGAACGATTTAGTTTTCTGGGAGAAGACTGGCTGTCAGGTTGCTCATATGGACTTCACATGTCTTCATTTGGTGTGATTACTTCTTCCTGGTCCTCTTCTTCAATGGAATCCCTCTTGAAGGTACCATAATCTTGGCACCTCTTGCTTGACCAAATGATTAATATGTTGAAGTAATTTAATATCACCCACCCCGCAAATTCAAAGCTATTATCAATGCAGGTGCTTTAAACAAAGTAATTTTACTAATGGCATCTAGCCAGTTACCCATCTCCTCTCAGAGTGCTTGAAATAGTTCAGGAAAGTGTGTTTGTGACAAAGATTCTTCCTGACAGATTATTTACATTTCTCACTCTTTGCCTTGCACAAATGAAATGGACTGATGAGTACGGAAACAAGCTTCAAACATGGACTGATGAGTGCTGCCTAATCCTCCAGGGCACTCTCTAAAGCTAAACCTGAATTTTGCAAAGTACATCAAACACAGGGGTGAATAAACATTTATAGGAAAGAAACAGGAGAAAGATGGTTGTCTGAACCACCCTTGTGCCCTCCATTTTTCCCATGCAAATGCACCTTTTCCCCCCACCCCAGACTTGCTTCCAATTTACTAAAAAGTGAATTAAAAACAACCTGGCATGGCACTTGCAGGGTCAAATACACCACTGCCAAGCATCACTTCTCTTTTGCAAATGCTGACATGGCTTGTAACCCTGTGTTTGCCTTATAATATACAGTACCACTCTCAGCCACAGCATGTTGGGTTCCTTCTATTGGGAGAGTCTCAATCTGGCCTCTCAATTCCCCCTTTTGTCTTTGGTAATGCTTTCCCACACTTTATTATGAAGCTGAGAATAGCTATAGAAGACATGAATTTTACTATACCTGTTTAGGAGGGTCATATGTGCCAATAGCAATAGGTGTGAATACATGCTTGGTCGAAGTGAAGTGAATGTAGTGGCACTCCAGATTCAGGGTCACACCAATGAAATTCAGCTGCAGAGACAGAATAAAAGGGTGACAGGGGAAAGGAGAGGCTGTTAGCCTGCACTACACAATCACTTCTACTATAAACACAGAAGGCATCTTTGGGATTGCTTTAGTCAAAGAAATGATACATTTCTTCCTGCAACTGCATGAAATAAGGAGTTTTTCATGTCCTTTCTTGGGAATATTAAAGCATTATGACCTTGGAACAAATGACAAGGAATTTCTGGCCACATAGGATGCATGCCCTCCAGTCAGGACTCTTGTACTCAACTGCCCAACTAGGCAGCCAGTAAGACTTGTGCCAAGTGGGCTGAGCCAAGAGAGCCCATCCAAAGGGCTTTGCACAAAAGCACAGTTAAGCCTGTGTTTTCACAGCCTGCTTAACTGGCTGGATTTTCAGCTGACAGCAGTCCATAAATGGGAAAGAAAAAAATAAAAATAAAAGGCTGATGGGAACACAGGAAATCTTGGGAGGGTGATGGGCACCTGGTACTGGTTCAGTGGGGCATGAGAAAGGTGTCCACTGGAGTGGAAGGGAAATCTGGCTCTAACTGAAAAGTCAGCGGGGAGAGGAAGGAGAAACGGGGATGGCAAATGGAAATAAATAGGGTAATGAAATAGTGGAAACACTAGTGGGGTAAAATTGCAGGGCAGAGAATAGGTTGGGATCTACAGGCACATCTCCAAGTGCCTTACTTGGATCAGCAAGGGTTCTGATTTTCAATGGTTTAAGATCAGATAAAACAAAAAAGTGTTGTTCTGCTCCTAAACTAGGCTGCTACCATCAAGAAAGCTTGTGGAAAAACAGGAGCAGATTTGAATGTGAAAGGATCTATGTGCAAGCTCCAGTTCTAGTGCTGAAAACTGCTTCAGCATCAGTTGCTGGTCTGGTGGTCAGAAACACCTAATTTCACAATTAAGCTTGCCTTCTTGAGCCACTATTATGCACCTGGCTCATGAAGGAAGCCATGTAATCATGGAAAAGGATCCTTCTGACCGGGTGCAAAAGGGAGATAACCTGATGTCATGGGACTGTGGTTCCCATTTCTGCTAAATGACCCAGCTGTGTGTGTGTGTGTGGGGGGGTAACCTCCCCCACCCTCACCAAAAGGCTACACTTAATTTGATTGCTGCTTGTATAGAGGAGATGTGAACCAAATATAAGGCTTCTGCTGGGGACAGGCTGGCTACTGATGAGAAAATGTTGCCATCAGTCCGGCTATACCATGGAGTAGGCACAGTAGTATGCAACAAAGGCAGCTATGGAAGAGGGGCTATGCATCTTGGATGTGTTATGAAGTGTGTATGTATACCAAAAAGCACACTTTGTGTTTCCATCCAAGAGAAGGACATTTCAGCAGTACAATGTCTCCTGTTGCTAAACCCACAAAGGAATTTGATGCTGGCTTCAGGGTTCTAAGCCTCTCCTCTTCTTCCTAGTATCATACCAGAATTTCTCGACCATGGGAGATCTTCAACAGGACTGGGAGTCGGTCAGTGCCAGTGAAATCATGTCTGGTGGCAGAAAAACAAATATGAGTGTCAGGAGCACACACAGAAAGATGAAACTGGTCCAAACTCTGAGCTGGAGAATCCCGCCTCAAACAGCAGATTAGGGACAACTCACTTCCCTGCCAGAGAGTTGCACTGTTGCATGAAGAGCTTCCTGAGCACAAGGACAGCCATGTCCGCATGTGCAAAGTCTGGTTAGAATGGCCTTGATTTCTGAGCTCCATGCTAGAAATACAGGACACCCAGTACTCAGAGAGAAGCAGAATCAATGCAGTTTTCTGTGTTAATGGAACCCATGATATGTCTGGGCAGGGGGAGTGAAGTGCTGGTTCCGTCTAGTTTCTTATCCAGGGTAACTATAATGTTGCCCAGTGAAGTGGATCTTGTACATGCCAGAGCTTGTGCTGGTGCAGCCTAACGAATGTGGGAGCACTTGGATTTGTGAACATTTTCCATATGAGGAAGGGGTTTTTTCCCATGATTTGTGGGTACCTGTGGGATAACTGTAAAATTTGTTCTTGCCCTGGAAGAAGCTTTCCTGCCTTGGGAGTGATGGTGAAAAGCTGATTATCCTGGATCCGCATCTGATGCAGCTCATTAGGGTCAAACTCAGCACTTTCTGCCCAATATTCCATGTCAATCTTCTGGTCAGAAGGAAAGAGAAAGGCCCTAGAAAATAGTCAAAACCAAATTAAGAGAGAGGAGCCCTATCATCAGAAAGCAAAGTTAATCAAGATTGGTCAGGGGGTAGATTGCCTCATGGTTACACTGACAAAGCTCCTAAACCCGAGTAGGGCTCTATGTATTCAGTGCTTTAAAAAAATAAATAAACTTTTAAAAAGGAAAACTAGATTCTGTGACCTACATAAATTATTCAGATTCAGCAAATGGGCATGAACTTTCTTATTTGAAAATTCTGAAATGTTTATTACGTTGCACAATTTGTTCTGGATTTGTTAATTGAAGGGACAGGCAAAAAGCCATATAGATTAGTGAAGCCACATCCCCAAAATCCTGGGAATCATGTTCAGTTCTCCCCTTAGCTTCCCAGAAATGAATTGTGTGCAGTTCTCCCCTTTGCTTCTCAGAATTCTGTAGGCATTGTTTAAACACTTTCAAGAGTCTTCATAGCCATACGGAGTAGAAACCAGGTTTTAGCTTAAAAAGAGAGATCGAATTGCATGGCCCTGACCATGGTCCCCATTCACCATCCTACTATTGCTTCCACAAAGCACACACCCAGCTTGGATGGTGTCCCTTAAACACTGGCTTGCAGCAACCCCTCGGTGTCCAGTTCAGCCAATGCAAGGGCAGTGCCAAGTAAGGGGCCACACATATGCACATATGTACTTCATTTCTTTCCCCCACCCCTTCTGCATTCTGATACAGGCTGCTAGGTAGACCTGGGAGAAGCTTTAACCTCAACCAGCTTCCAGTGACCCTGAGTAAGATCAGAGGAGTGGTAGCTTTAACCTGCTCCTCAATGCAAAATGTTGAGCATTCTTTTTCCTGGCACCTGTGCAAACCTTAGAATGCTGGCGAGAGAGAAGTGGAGGAAATCATCCCTGCACACTCTTCTGCAGTGGAGGCAGCTAGAGGTCGGGGGATTTAGGGGTGGGGGATGTGGCACTGGACGCCCATGGTGGGCCACCAGGTGGCCTCAGAGGGTTGCATGCAACCAACAGGTTGCCCACTGCTGTACTAATGGATGAGGTCAATCGCTCGTTCAGGTCAGGACAGTATTCTGTCTTTGACTCTAACCAGAAGCAGTTAGCTATTAAAAGCTATTCCCTGGTAATGGACAGTGAGTGGAGGTTACTCACCAGTTCACAGGCACTGCCCCATTGTTTTGTAGCATCAGCACAACCACAGAGGGCTCACTTCCAACAGGAGCTGCACCAAAATTGAAATCCAGCATGACAGGAGTATAAACTGGGGGGATTCGCTGTGTGCTGCATATGTTGAAGAGAAGCGGAATGTGAAAAAAACATCCCCGCTGTAGAATTCACAAATGGTGCTGCAGGCCCCAAGTTATAGCTCACAAAGGCACCATATTCCCTGCTGTTTAGTATCCTAGAGAAGGAAAGGAAAGGGAACTGTCCTCTCAGACTGTGAAGAAATCAAAAATATTCCTGGGTCTGAATGGGGAGAGCAGAGGAGCTAGAGGCTTGGGGCCTGGGCAGAGGAATAAACATTCTTACCTGTGTCTGGTAGGCACCCTGAAAGTGAGCTCCTGCAGCGTTGGGTCACGTTCCAGGTACTGGTTCAAGGTCTCCAAAGAAAAAAGCCGCCAGAGATGCAGCTTGCTGATGCCACGGGCACTGCCTGTCCCACAGGCGTCAGTAATGCAGATGGATGGGTAGATGCCTTTGGCTATCACACAGCAGATGGGCTGCTTTTTCCCAAGAGGATTTGGGTCTTGCATGGGGAGACACAAAATAGAATTACAACTATTGCATCATAAACAGAACTTGGGCCTTTGCCAGACAATAATTCTAAAGTGCCATAAATGTCTCCTCCTTCACAGTCTACAAGTTCCCCCTCAAGATTTGTAGAGACAATACTGAACTAGATAGAACAGCAGTATGACTCAAAACAAAGCAGTTTCATATGTTCAACAATTCTTCCCCAGATAATTCATTGCTGCTAGGATTGCTCTTGGAATGCTATTCTGTGAGTGCTATAGGTGCTCAGTACCTCTTGCTCATATGCCTTAAGTGACCAGAAGGGCAGTGGCTGAAAGACCTGCTGCCCTTGCTGTCGCCTTAGATGAGCCAAAAATTCTGAAGTCCACAGTGAGGCAATACCATTATTAGAACCATTCAAAATGTCACAAAAAGATTGTGCGAGCTTTCAAGTTCTCCAGAATTCTTCATTAGATGAGATGGAAAATAAACATGGAGATGAAGGAAAACAGAAAGTCCAAACATTAAGCCAGATGTTGTGGCCACAGAGTCTGCAAGTTTCAAAATGGAGATTGAAGATGAGAAGAGTGATTTTGTGGCTCCTACAGAGCATTTAGGATGCCTCAGGATTCTTCAGATCCTGAGATCTAAGGTCAGAAATCAAGTTGAAACCTCAGAGCTGAGACTCCCTACCTACCCTCTGCAGCCAGGCAGGAAAGTACTGCATTGCTTCTCCAAGGTTGTAAAAACAACTTTGAAGAAGGGGGAACACAACTGGGGGGAAGGGTGGGCAGGAATTGGGGTTGCTAAGATACATTACATCCTGGCAGCATTCCAGCTTCCCTCTCCCCCTAGTTTTATCAAGCTTGACTGCAGAGTAGGAGAAGTGGGAAGGTGCCAATCACCTCCATGCTCCTCTTGCCATGCACTGGAAGCTCATAATCTTCTGAGTTCAGAAATCATTACCTTTTTGGCACCCATTCGATTGTGTCCTGAATTAATTAGATGTTGCAGGTATGGTATTATACATGGCATTCTAGGACAAAATGGTAATGGATGACCCACATTTCTAAACCAAAAGCCTGGTTGTAACTCAGGTCTATCTCATGCCTTGGGTGAAACACACAGCTTATCAGATAGGCAGAGAGCTATCTTATAAAGAAAAGTGTAACAGTGTTTATATTAGCAAAACTGGAGATTAGCTTTAGGCAGAAAACTTAAGGTCAGTTGAAGCCAAACTGTGTAGTAGTAGCTTCTATTAACTCATCACTTAACTTTAAGCCATACAGATGTTTTGGCTGGTTCAGTGTGTAGTGAAGCAAGAAGCACTCTCCTACCTGTTGTGGGATCCTCATCTCCCCCATGCTTGGCTGTGAGAGCTACATTAGTGTCTACCAGTTCCCCTCATCTCTCACCTTTGGGAGTGGAAACAGCATAACTAACTGTCCAGGTATAGTGCAATTGGCGGGCTGGTCTAAGAGTTGCTTGCAAAAAGATCTTTCCCCGGGAAGAAATGGTCCCTTTGTAGTGGTCAAGTTCTATTGCTGTAGGAGAGAGGGTCAGGGAGAGAAATATTGTGAGGATAGAAGGGCGATTTCAGATAGCAACAAAGTACAAACAATCTACACTTCCATTAAATACCTAAGGGGTCACTGGCAACTTCCTCAGGGTCACATGGTCCAGTTATCATTTGCTCCACGCTGAGATCATATTTTAAGGAGCAGGCCCCGTTGTTCAATAATATAAGTTGACATGACTGTGTGCTGCCAACCAGGATATTGCCTACATCCACCTGCTCCTCTTGTGCCTGCAGCCCAAATGCAACAGAGACGGATCAGATTCATTAAGGGATATGGATTATGGGTACTCCATACACTGAGGGAAGAGAACAACAACACAGGGAGAACTCACTAGAGCTAATGTTCAAGCTGGCATAGCCAACAGATGAATACTCTGTCGCACTGTCAATAGGAAGGGATATGTACTTTCTATAGTGCATGTCTCCATAGGTGCTGGGTATCCATCTGGGTAAATCTGAACTGGCCACTCTGTGATTGGTCTGTCATGATCCTCTAACATGGCCATGACTACTTCTCTTGCTCTGAATGCTGACACTTACGGTTAAGGTGCCAAATGATCCTTCCCCAATAACCCTCAGGACATAGCGAACACTCTTTGGCGTCTTGTCTTCAAGTTTCTCTTGTTTTCGCCACACTGTCACCCAACTCCGCAGAAGATATTTGGTCTGCTCACTAGGAGTGAAGGTCCAAGTCTGAGCCTGAAATAACATGCAAAAGAGGAATCTGGGGAAGAACCAGAGCACTTTGCCTGTCTGAAATGCAGCATCTGGATGAGCAACTTGTCAGAGATACAAGGAAACCCACAGGAGAATCCAACTTCCTTGCTCCACCGGCGTCTTACATGTTTGCACATCCAGAATGTATGTGCAAGAGTAAACACATAGGCAGGCATCTTTCAGTGGAATTGGAAACATGTTTTGGTATCATTAGCTCAAGGAGAACTGCCGTATTTCTGTAGGATTTCCTTACTCACCAAAGCTTCATTGGGCAGTATTGTCCCTTCAGCAGGCTGGACAGACAGGAACTTTTTATCTGACTGCTGAAGTTTCCATCTGAAGAGCATGGATAACCGTGTTAAGTTCTTGATGGTGAAAGTGCGTGACGAGGAGGTGCCTACACAAGTAGGTTTGAAATACAGGCTGCCATCATTTTCTAAGAGTAGGACTAGGGGTTCAGCATTGCTCTGAAGAGAAATCTCCTAAGGAAGCAAATAGCAAAAAGATCTTTAGTCAAAGCTGAAAACCACAGTACTTCCATAGGAAAGCTGAACTGGGTCCTAGCCTGGCACAGGCCAGAAAGAGCTGATACAAAGAAGGAACAAGGGCAACATTTCCAAAATAAATGTTTAATTTGTGAAGTTCTAAGAAAGTCATTGAACAAACTCAATACTATTTGGCTGCAATGTTAACCAAAAGTAACTAGGATTGACAGAAGGCCTTTCCATGCAGAAACCAGCATTCAACTCAATCAGTGCACAGTATTAGCATGTTCCTGGAGATGCAGGTTTCTTCCATAAGGTAACATGGAATGTATTTTGAGGAAATATTGTTTTCAGTATACTAAAACCACAGTATCTTGTGCTACATATAGAAATAATTTTTCCCTATAATGCACCTGCTGTGATCATTATGTAGATGGCAGCACAAGTGTCACCAACACTGTCTGATATGACAGCCATCCACTTGCTTTCCAGCCATTTTGCCTTTTGAGGTATTCTTTGTTAGGAGAGCCTCAACTTTCTTAAATCAAACCATCGTTGAGATATACAAGGAGAACTGAACAGTCACATAAAATATTTAATCTGATCATTGCACTGTTGATGTCTTTTTTCCCCATGAAAACTCACAGCAAACCATGAGAAGCTGTGCAAGATGTTTAGCAGAAAATGGGGAAGAAGTCTTTTTGAGCACTCCCATACATGTGAAGGAATGAAATTGTTAAGCCATTTTGTGTTTGTTCTTAATCATGATATGTTGCCCTAATATAGGTATTGCCTGGAGGAGTGTTGCTCACGGGGTCGCGATGGGTCGGACGCAACTTCGCAACTAACAAAACAACAACAATATAGGTATTGGGTTGGATCTCAATTTAACTTTTGACTAATTTAATTCTTGTATTGATTCCATTTCAGTATTCTTGAGACTTCAGGGGCAGTTCTTCCATATGACAATAAGAGACTTCCATAAGCCAATAGTGCAACATTCAGCCCAAATATATGGAAAGCAGACAACTGCACTGCTGTTAGCCCCATTGCTTTAAAAATCAGGATAGACGTGCTTTCTATCACAGCAAAGAACTAAATAAAAGAAGCAAAAAAGTCCATGAAATAGAGTATTGCTGTGTACGGATGCAGTAGCCCAAATAGCTGGTACCTGTCACATCTTTTTAAAGGTGAGATGAGAGTGCTCTCACTTTAAAGTGGCACAGCAAGGGTGTGCCTAGCCTCTAATGCATTAATCAAATTAAGTAACTTACAAGAAGTCAAAGAATGCTACGAACAATGGGAGGGGGACACAATGAATTAAGGGAGGTAATAGAAGTGAAAACCTACACATCCCTGCTCCTACCTGTGTGTACAAGGGCCAGAAATTGAGATGCAAGGACAATATGTGCAGCTGTATGGATGTTTCCACTGGGCAGGTTGAGAGGATAAAGATCTGATGGGCACCAGGCGCAATACACCCACAGCTGGGCTTGACCAGGACAGAAGGGCACTTCTCCCGGCTCATCTTGAAGCTGATGGAAGTGGTGCCCACATTGCGAAGCAGCATGCTGCGGTATGTGGTAATGTTTTGGCACACTGGAGGAAAGACCTAGGAGATAGGAAGCAGTTTTGGTTGGAGAAAAGCCCAGCTCCATATGGTTGGCAAGGACTGTAACGTCTAATCTAGAGACATAGGGAAAGCAACAAAGACCACATCAAATGCAGAAAATGAACAATTTGATTTTGCTTGCTTTGCAAAATTAATTCCATGAGCTGAACAGCCTCACCACATTTTTCTTTTTATAGACTAAAGAAGACCCACAAAATACAAATGTCAAGAATGCACTGCTACTCATTTTGCTTCATAGAAGGAATTGATATAACACTGAAGTCATTGCTGTGGGAAGCAAGGCTACATAGAGAAGCACTTGCAAGGAAGAGTGTGGATAGGTTGTTGTCATTGTTATTACAATTATTACTACATTTATATATCATCACTTTTTCTCTTGGAAGGAACTCTGCTTACATTTATTTATTTAAAGTTTTTTAAAGTTCTTTAGCAGGCACTCTCAGAGTTTTTGATTTAAAACAATTAAATCAACATAAAAGACAAGACAAAAACATATAAATAATAAAAATTCAAATATAATAAACCACAGTAAACCAAGTAAATAATAATAACAACAGCACAATCACATCTGATCCACAGCAAACCAATCATCATTTAATAAAACCAGTGTAAAATCAGAGCCTTCTATTCAGTAATTAAAATAACGGGCAAATAAAAAGGTTTTAACCTGGGGCCAAAACATATAAAGGAAAGATTTCTTCCACCCTTCATATTTAATAATAAAGCTGACCCACTTTACTCTCAAGACTGTGCAATGCTATATGCATTTACAGTACTACAGAAATACAGATATTATCCACTTAGAGGGTCCTTGGACTAATTTAATGAGGAATATAAACTGAATGAATAAATATTATCCATTAGAGATGGGCCTCTGCTGACCTCTGCTGTCACTGAGTTGATTAAGTCAGCAGCCAGAAAATGCTTCTTCAGAAGCCTGAGTGGCCACAGAAGAATAAAGATTGCCCTTAGATAGCTGAGGAGAGGAGTGTTTCCATTGTGGGAATGCTTTCAGATGGAAGGTTCCTAGTACAATCAAGCAGAAGCCATTTCACAGTTATTTTGTCTTTTCTTTCTTAACAGATTTTCTGTGGTAAAGAAGACAAGAGGGGGAAAGAGATAGGTAAATGTAAGAGAAGCCTGAGTTGAAGATAATGCCATCTGGACCCCCCACCCCTCAAAAAAACAAATTCTGTGAATGAAGTGAGGCAATAGCACAATAAAGCCCTCATCTGGAAGCACCCCAAATCATTTGCGGGATTTGCAAGGGTGCAGAAGTGAAAAGAAAACCAGTGGGGACCAGTAGATAAAGAGCTGGCCTTTGTTTCACAAGACCCAGATTCACATTATGTCTACTGGTTGCCCTTGACAGCTGGTTGCCAATCAGACACTGCCAGCCAGACACTGCTGCATGTCCCTGGCAAAGTATGACTTTGTCAAACTTGTCAAGTTTCTCTGGAAGGGAAACAGCAAAAACTACCTTCTCAGTGTTCTGGGGACAAATAAAGACTATGAAGCACTTTGTATACATAGTAGTGACAAATATTTTTAGCCCAGGAGACAAAGATGTATCCCTCTCACCTTGTGGCAGTCCAAGGTGTATTGTGGGATGAAATGCTGTCGCCCAGGTTGAAAAGTGTGTCCGCGCAAGCGGATGGTCAAGCTCCAGGAAGGGCACATTGTGATGGGCTCTTCAATGTTACTGTGCTGTCGCAGCACCTGTTGGTAACATGAAATGGGGTAAGATCTCTCTGATAAGCAGCAGTAATGCTGAGTGCAGAACCTTCTTCTGGTCATCCTCATGACCAAGGAAAATTATTAGAAAACCAGGATGACTGGGGCTGGAATGTCCATGCCATAAATGTCAATACTTTTGGCACTGAGTTCTACCCACCTTGTAGAAGGCAAAGCCCTCCAGTTCTGCTGCATACAGGGAATTGAGATGAAGAGGCTGGAAGGTGATGCAAACAGCCATAGACTTCAGAGGGGGGATGTCACAACTCTCTGGGATCACCTGGAAAGGACTATCTGGTTTCTTTGTCCATGTAACGGTAATTTTTCCCTTTGTGTGATTAGTCACACAGAGTGGAAGTGGTTCAACTGCTTGAAGGTTTGCACAGCAACCAAAATCAAACTCCTTGATGCTAAGGCTGACATGGGGAGGAAACACAGTGAAGTCACTGCTTACACCATCATGGAAATATTCAACCATGGGTTCAATGACGGGGTACCCTTCAGGGGGCTTGTCCCCAAGAATCTAAAATGAAAAAATGAGTAAGAATCATGAGCTGTACAGAAGACAAATATCCCATCAAAGTAAACAAAGTAGAGATAAGCCAGTTAGAATCTGTGGAAGCTGGTTTTGCCTTCACGGGTTCCTTTAACATCACTAGAACTGGGAAATGAATGGTAAAAAGATGTTACCCCTGGTATTCCTCTTCTAAATAACCTCTTAATTTCACAGAGATGGAGACTCAGGAAGGGTGAAAGGTAGATCCAAAGCCCAAGAAAATTTAGCTGCTCTGAACTTGAAAACGGCATCCTATCCTCATAGTACATCCTTACCACTGGGGTAAGCACCCATATCCTGGAAACTGTGGTTATAGACAGGTGCTACACAGTTGTGAAAACAGCATGGACACCAAGACTTCAATATTTCTCATGGTGAGCATCCATATCTAGGGAATACAAATGGAACAGAAATAGCACTCAGCCCTTGTAATAGACATGCTTTACCTCTGGAGGGAGTGTAAGAGCTCCATTTTCATCCACCAACAATTTGCCTTCCTTCAGCATGGTCCCTAGGATGTCCGGGGGGAAAAACGTTAGTCCTCTGGCCATGTGTGTCCTGTACATGGTAAGGTCCTTCAATTTCAGAATTACTGGGCTCATTGTTTCTGTGTGGCAGGTTCCAACCAAATCCAGGAACAATGGGTCCTGAGAGGTGTCAGAAATACAAGGAAAGAACAGCCTGTTTTGCCTGTATTCTAGCAGGATCACAGCTCTACAACGCTCCCTTATGAACACATCACATCGACACCCTGTAAACATTAACCTACCCCTTCTCCAGGAGCAGGTGCACAATTAGGGAGCTTCTAACTGGCACAACCGCATGGACAGGGCCAGTCATGTTGAACCTGACCACATAGTCAGATCCTCATGGGAGCTGGAGCTATTGATTCCTTAAAGCGCATGTAAAAGGCCCTGCCTGCATATTTGGACCGTTTAAACATGACCTTTCTGTGGAAGAGCTACTCACAGAAAAGCAGCTTCTATGTTTATTTATTTATTTATTTATTAAAACATTTTTATGCCGCCCCATTCGCCGAAGCCTCGGGGCGGCTTACAACAATAAATTAAAAATAATTATAATATTACAATAAATATAAACATAAATTAAAAATACAAAAATATGGGAAAAATATGTTGCTATGGGAAAATATAAAAGCCTCCTCACTATTCATACATTCTCATTTTCCAGTTACCTTCCCACTTTTGAGAGCTGGTTGTGCTATATTGAGAAAGATACACAGGGGAAGGCAATGCACATGAATTTCTGTTAGTATTTAATCCTAACCCCCTTCCAATGAATTATCTTTATCTCACAACAGTCCTGTGAGGTAAGCTACAGGCTGGTGGGTGACTTGCCCTTGGCCATCCAACTGAGCTCCCATGGCTTTGCTAGGATTTGCATCAGTGTTTCTTATGTCCAACCCAATGCCCTAGACCAGAGGCACATAACTTTTTGGCTCTCCTCTGGGTATGCTAAAAGCTGCCAGTGGTTGTGGCACATATGTCTTTTTACACCAAGCATACAAAATAGTGGCCAACTCCATGGCTTTCTCCTCAGAAGTAAGGCCCAATGCCACAGTTTTCAGGCATGTCAAGCACAGTTCAATCCTGAAATCTAAAGGTCTTTGAACTGGGCTTATCTCCAACAGGTCTCCCTTACCACTGAAGAAAGCTTCCTTTATTTGCTCCTCCTCTCTGCAGCCTCGTCTTTCAGCCCAGCTGACCATCTGGACAAGGCAGGTGGAATGGATGGGTTGTTTGTCCCTGTTCCAGACACTGTATCATTCTGGTTTATTTACTTTATGTATTTATGTATGTATCCAGAAACCCTTTTTGATTGCTAGTTCATGAAGTGCTCTTATTAAGTTGATTTTTGAGCTTGTTAAGTTAGCTGCTGTTTTCCATCATTATGATTTTGTATGTTTTATCTATTATATAATACTATATAATATACATATTATATAACTGTATCTATTGTTTGCAGTTTTATCATTGTACGCCATCTTCAGCCTTTTTTTTGAAATGAATACAGTATATATGTTTAACTAAACAAAATAATACATAAAGGGATAGAGTGTCTTGTTCTAGGACATCCAACCCCCAAACTGCACACCAGCAAGCTTGCACTGGTATCCACATCCGAGACAGAAAACTGAAGAATTGGAAGTGTAGATTCTGGGCAGGTGCCTTTTGCTTTCATTCCAGTGTCCCTGTAAGCGTGCCTTTTATATTCTTGCTTGTGTGATAGTGCTCTGAAGCTGAAGTGCACGAAACTAACTTGGGAGATGATCTGTCCGTCCTTGTATTCCAAAATTTACCAGGAATGGGGGCACTTCTCTCACCACCTCAGTTCACCACATGACAATCAATTAAAATCAAAATCGCTGCGTTATGCGGAAAAGTGCCGTTGGGCTTGTGCGAGAAGATGCAAAAGGTCAGGATACAACCTGCACAGCCTGGGGCCTAAACCAAAACTAGTGCTTCTGGTCAACTTTACAAAATATTATTCAAGATATGAAAAAGGAAGTATTAGTCTGAGACAGCAGAAACATTTTATTTAAGCAGAACTGCCTGAAAACCATAAGAACCAGTCAAGTGGAGTATGTTCTCTCCATGAAACGGTAGTCAACCATCATCTGCTTAACTGAGAATACACAACGGAAGGTGATTTCACTGGAAGAAGTATCCTAAGTTAACCCTCTTACCTGATGATGAACAAGGCAAGTGACTCGCCGGTGGCAAATTATTGGGTGGGTGGGCTGGAAGGTCACCTTCAGTGTCAAAGTGGACATTCCATCCAAGATCCCACAAGGACGGTCAAAGGAAAAGACACTCTGTTTGCAGTCAATGTCAAATTGATAGTAGGCTGGAACTTCAGAGTTGTTGGTGACCTCTAAAGGCTGAATTAAGTACTCTCCAAGGTTAATGCAACTAAAGTAGACATAGGGATGCTGAAAAGAAACCTCAGGACCTAGAATGGCAAACATGGTCACTTTTTAACTGCTTGCTGTTGATACTGAGAAAAGGGCTTTTTCAAGCCCAGTGGCTCCCAGTCCTTTTTCACTCTAAGGGTCAGTTGTTATGTTTGATGCTAAACAAGTGATCCTATGGACTAAACTCCCCTTAGAAGGACGATTTCAGTCTCAGAAATTCCAAGTATCCAATGCCTTGCCACCTGCTGGCAGGGTAGAATAAGTGAGGGAGACAAATTTTGCCTCTCCATCCTCCTTGTAGAAGACATAGGATTTCTTGTATCCCAGCTTCTCTTCACTCTTCCCTACCCAGAAGAATGCTCTTTTTCTTTCCCTCTGAGGCTGCATTTGCAACCTTGGGCTGGCATGGCATATTCCATGATGGCTGCAAGAGTGCAGAAGGAGGGGACAAGAATTGAAGAGTCTCCCTCCTGAGGCTGTAGCAGTGTCTGTGGTCTCTGGACTTCAAACAATTCTATGTTCCCTGGGTCAGTCTCTGAGAGACCAACAGAATGATCTCTGAGCCTGACTACTTATCTCCATGGATATCTCCTAATGCTCCCAAACATAGAGGGATAGTCACACTCACTCAGTCACACAGAAATGCAGAGTCCCTCTAAACCCAATGGAATCAGTCTCTTTATGTTGGAGAGATACTATACATTTCGACTAGGAGCCAGTAGCTGAAGTGACCTCTCTGCTACAGATCACAGAAAAGTCTATAGGACACCCCAAGTTCAGGATTGTAAACTACAAGAATAGGAATTAAAACTAATCAGTGACTGATTGCAAGTTACTACAATCTCCAGGAGGGGTGCTGAAATTCTTCCAGCCAAAGGCAAAATATACAGGACCAAAAACACCAGTATATTGTAACTTAAAGCTTTTATTGTAGCGATGGGAAACTTGTGACCCTCCTGACATTTTGGTCTACAACTCCAATGAGCCCTAGCCAGCATGACCAATAGTGAGGAATTATGGGAGCTGCAGGTTGCAGTACCTGTTTGAAGAACCATCCACTGCCCATCCCCACCCTATTGCCAGTAACTAATACTTGGGAGAGACATTACAGCCTTTTAAAATGGCAGATGGGGGACTGCACAAAAGTCAGGAACATGGTGGTTGGAGCCACCTTGGTGGTTGGAGGAAAGGGGTGGATCCAGGGGAAGGAGGACTGAGCTGGGACTCCAGGAGGGCCAGATTTACATCCCTGATCTGCAAAAGGAAAATCATCTCACAGCTCTGGGATAGGAATGTGGTGCAAGTAATTCAGACACAAACTTTTGATCCTATCATGGCCAAGCCCACTATCTAGCAAGGTTCTGAAACCCTAAATCTGTTTTACTCTGATCAGGAGTAAAACACCATATACTTTGATGCAGCAAGAAAAAGCAAAAGGGCTCTCATAGCTTCCTACCTTTACATGATCCTGTCACCTTCAGCACGGAATGTGTGCTGTTCCCAAAAGGCACAATTGTGAAATAGTCCATACTGTTCATACCCACAGTGTGTGGGCTGAACTTCAAGGGGATGACTGATGCCCCATGGGCTGAAACAGTGGCTTGTGCAATATCGCAGGAAAATGCATGATCACGAAGCATTGGCTCTTTTGTTCTTTCAATCCTGAAGGGGGCACTGACCTGCCAAAAGACAGACAGGGTTACATCCTTCTCACTGAGAAAAGAAATAGTTTTCTGCATATGGCAAATGTCACAAACATGTTAGCAAACATGAACATGACAAATATAGGCAAGCCATATGCACTAACAAAGCAGAATTAGACCGTGAAGAGCCAGATATATAACCACACTTCCAGATCACTCAACATTCTCTTCTTCAAACCAAAAGATAAACTTACTGTACCATGGACACATTGTAGATCTCCACATGTTTTTCCACAGTGGTGCCAACAGCCACACTGCCAAAGCAGAGTACATCCCGGAATTTTCTAAGTCCAGCATCTTTGCATGAGTCTTCTGGAACATTCACCAGCAGGTGGGGATATTTAGCTATAGAAAATTAAGGTTAATTTTAATAGCCAAACATGAGGTCTTCCTACTCAGAAAGCATGTAGATTACTGTATTTCTGTCACTACAATGATTTCTAGAAGTCACTAGGCTAGAAATTTTAGGCAGAAGAAGAGATAGTGGAACTATGTAACAAAATTAGCTAAATTACTGGGATTCCAGTAATTACTGGAAAGACTAGGTTCAAAACTAAGTTCAAATTAGGCAAGTTCCTAACGATCAGGAACACATGGGAGTTAAGGCTGCCTGCAAAACAAGACAGGACAATGGATTACATGCTTTCTTTAGCTCATGGGTAACAGTAGTACAGATGAATTCATAGGCAAGAAAACAGGCTATTCATAAAACTTAATCTTATGGCATATTCTGTGTACCCTTGCTTGCTTTTAGAGACTAAATGTCCTCACCGATCGCTTTCAGTTTGATGGACTTCTGCTCTGGTGTATCTCCAAAACTACATATTGCTGGTATGTCATATACCAGAGCCATTTTAGGTTGAAATATCACCTTCATTAAACACTCTTTGCCTGGATCCAAGATGCCACGGGAAGGAATAAGGCAGAAAGGCTCTGGCACCTCCCAGCTAAAACATGTCAATAGATCCCTAGAAGAAAAATACTCTATAAACCAAAGACTCTCCATCACAACAACAGCTCTTTTCTCAAAGAATGTGAAAATCTTATGGAAAGGTGATGCACCTGCTTTCATGTAATTTACAAAGCTAAAGGTGCAGGAGATAGTACATGCTGTGTCACTGTGTCTTGCCAAGATAATGCAAGATAAGCAGAGTTCTGTTATGTATATGATAATGACCTGTAGCAGCAGGCTTCAGTGTCCTTGATCTCTGCAACTAGAACAGTAAAGGCAAGCTATGTGATCCCTGCACCAATCTAGTGTACAGCTTTGGGGCTTTTCAGTAGTCCAGATGCAGAAATTAGAAATAGCTCTGAGGCTATTAGAAATTCACCCCAAAAGAGCTAGTATGGAATATATCCGTATTAGCTAGGTGACTTAACCTTCTCTGAGATTCTAATTATGACGGGATGATACTCTGAGGGAATGATATTTTGTGATAGCCTTTAAATATCACTTAGTGTTAAATTCTCTTCATAGATTATCCCAGTAAAGTTAATACAACTTTTAAGATAGATTGATATTACGCTCATCTTGCAGTCAGCCTAAGAGTGAGTGGCCTGCCTAATATCATGAACAAGCAGAAAGTTTCATCAGATGACTTTCATTCTCTTAGCTGTTACACTACACTATCTTATGGACTGGATTTACTGTCTGAACTCCCTTCCCTCATAGTTTCTTGTCAAGATGATCCATTCTGAGAACATGATTACTGGATGGATTAAATACACATATGAACAATGGACACTGAAATAACAGAAGCATCTGAAGACCCAAATATACTATGTTGTTTGAGATGTTTGCTGCTGAACTGAGGACTTCATTAGCCACTGATATGGAGAGCTCTCAAAATTTATGTTCATGTCACCCCAATCACAACTATTTACACAATCCAGATCAGTTGTCATTTGGAAACATTAAGAGATGTCTACATGTTTCATAAGAAGTATGTGGGGAAAGATGATGCCAGCCTCCAGTGGCAACTTGGCAGAAGCAGTTCAGTTGCATGGATCCAATCCAAAATCCAGAAAATAAGCAGCTTTGAAGGCTACACACAAGAACACTCACCCATCATTGTACAGGGTAAAGGAGGCCTCTGTGCTGTCATAGACAGCACATGCAGGAATCTGGATGCTCTCTGGAAAAAGCAGATCAAGGTGTGGTAACTTAGCATGCAGCATTACAGAGAACTCTCCCTCTGGTTTTTCAAAGAAGATTCTGTCTTCATATTCCTTCTGCATAAGGAGAGAACAGACAGGCTGAACTCCTCCATGTCAAATGCAAAGAACAGGCAGGCCATGTCTACATATACGAAGTAGGAGTTGTGTATTCATGCTTTCTGAGAAGCAAGTTGAAGACCCACTGCATATCAGTAGCTCTGTCTGCACTTATGTGGTTACTTTATATTTTAAACTATTTCTGTTCTGCTTTTCAAATAACACTTCCAAAGTGGCTTATATAAAGACCATAAAGTATGATATAAAAATTCAAATGTAAATTTCCCTACAATAAACTGGTCCCAGGTTGTTTAGATCTTTAAGTGTTATTGCCAGCACCTTCAACTGCACCTAGGAACAAGGTTTACCCATACTATATTTTGCAGTAATGCTGGATAATTTTATTACATTAGGTTTTCTATAGAGGTTTGGTGGATGGAACATGATCCTAATAATCTTGTAAATACTAAGGACATGTTGCACTATTGCCAATATATCAGTATTTTGAAGGTAGACAAGAGGCTCTCCCCCATGTTTTCCAGATTTGGATTACTTCCAGGTATGGTGAAAAAAATTCATTTATGCATTTGTAACAGCAAATTAAAGCAGCAGGGATACAAAGAACCACAAGTCCCAGGGGAAGTACTGGTATCATTTTAACCCTTACCTAGACTAGTTAGATGCAGTGTCATCTTCCCCTTTCCTACTCTGCAAAGTTAGAGAAGGACTTATAGAAGGAAACAGAGGGAACGCTACTGCAACCCACAATTGTATCAGTGGCTTTGGAAGAGAGGTAAGTACATCCCTGGTTTACCTTTTCTAAAGGGCGGAAGATGATGGGCAGAGTTAAGGACATCCCAGGACTCAAAATAATTGGCTGTGGGAAAACAGTAATGAAGAAACATGTAGTAGGGGGTCTGGAACAAATCAAAGTAAAGAAACAATGGAAATTAAACAGAATTAATGCCAAGCCATGATACAAAACAAAATAATAATGTTGTCAAACTTTGTTTTTTCCTTAAACCTTAAAACCTAAAATAATGCTATGAGTATTAATTAAAATGCTAAAATAATGTTAAGTGTCATGGAATAGCTGAAAAAGTACACAATACAATAAGCATGCTATTAACAAAGCAACTTAAAGCACACAAGAAATGCAAAGGTAAGGTCAAATGGTTAAAACAGGAGTGCTGAACTATACTGTGGTAGTGGGCTGAATTGCCACTCCAGAACCTCCAAGGGCTGGATGATTTCAGTGGGCTTCTTCTACCACCACCGCCCATTTGCTTTTCTCAGTGCTTCTTTCAGCATGGAGAGGCAGCCAACGCTCCTCTTGATGTTGAGTGAATCCCTGGCTTTGCAAGGGTGCATCTGCCCTCTGACAGCAGAGCACTGCTCAAAGCCACCCAGCTAGCTCTGGTGACTAGTCACTCATCTCAGCACCAGCCAAGTTCTGCCTGCACCCCAACATCCTTGCTGCTATCTCTGATTTTGAAACAGAGATAACAGTGGGGATTCTTCTCGTGGGTCCCCAAACTATGGCCTGCGGGCCACATCCAGCCCGCCATGCCCATTTATCCAGCCCACCTCAAAGGTTTTGGACTCGCTCAGAGAAAACGATCTCCATGCGAGCAAGCCACTGCCTCACCATGCATACCCGCCCCCACCTTGCCTCGCAGTGTGCATGTGCGCACCCCCCCCACCCCGCCGGAACTGCCTTGCTGGCCTGCACTCACCACTGGCACCTTTCAACTGGCCCCCTGCTGAAAAAGTTTGAGGACCCTTGCTCTAAAGGAAGGTATCAGAAAGAACCTAAGCAGGCTTCACAGGCTAGATGTGGCCAGATCAGGCCTACAGGCTGGAGATTCCATATTCCTGGGTTAGAAACTGCCAGACTTGTTTTAAGAGGTTTCAAATGTAAAATAGTACTCCTAGGCCCACTTACTGAGAAAACTTACTGAAACCACTGGAAGCAACTACTAAATAAACATGCATAGCATCAGCCTGCACAATATTCAAACAGTAGGATTTAGGCTGAGCAGCACCTCCATAGGACATGTATGTATCTGTGTAATTTGAAATAGCAACACAGTTCCAGGTGAAAAACATATTGCATCCAGCAACATTTCACCAAATGTAATTGGGTTCAGAGGGGAAGCTCAAATGAGAACCAAAACTAGACTACTGGCCCAGTAGTAGAAAAAAGCTACTAGTTAAAGAAACTATGTCTCCCTCTGCCTTTGACATGCCTTACATACCTGAACTTCAACTTCTGAGTTTTCAGACACACATTCCTCAAAATTAGGTGCTTGGTGAATTCTTTTCCCAGACACCATCCTTGCCAGTTTAGAGTCTCAGCTACCTCAATACCCCAGAAAATATTTTTCTTGGTTTTGTTCACAATGGACCCTGAAGACCTCTGCACAGGCACCAGCAGCTTCTGACAACATAAGGAAAAGCATGTTGCAAATCAGTTCATTACTGCATCAGAAGGTAAGCTATCCGAGGAAATATCAATGCTAGTGTTGACACCAAATGCTAGTGTTTGACACCAAATACACTGTGAATAGCTAAGAAAATGTCAGTGAAAATCTAATCGCTCCAGATTTCAAACATGAGAACATCCTTACCTTCTTCAAAGATTACTCACCTGATTGTGGCCACCATGATAGAGTCTCTGAAGGGGGTCTGAGTTGGGCGAGTATCTGTGTGTTTGAGTGAGCATCTTTGCATCTAGGAAAGCCAAACAGCATGCTAGTTAACAAGAACTCTGTAAGGTGCAGGTGGCAGGAGACTATTCTGAAGGGCAGGGATGCATAACCTTTTCTTAGCTGCAAGGTCACACCCCCATTGGGTGTCCACTGGGTTTCCAGGGATGCCCATGCAAGCATGGACTTTTACATTCCTGCCTCCCACATATACAAATATGCAGGGGTTTTTTTTGTCATAGAACGCACCGGAATGGCATTCTGGCACCTTTTTTTGTCGGATTTTTCCAAGTGATTGCAAATCGCCCTGTTGGGCATAGCAGATCAGTGGCAAAAATCATTAACATAGTGCCTGCGGGCTGCTTGTGTGTCGTGTGGTTGTGCGCTGAGTGCATACTGCCGGCAGCAACCATTGTGTAAAAATGTGACCCCAAGACGTGAGTTCCGGCACATTTTTTTTTTTTTTTTACAAAAAAAGCACTGCAAATATGCTTGAATTACATGAACCTCTATGATTCTACAGTAGTGCTAATACAGGAACTGAAAGGGTTTCCCTACCTAGTCCTAGCAAAGGAAACAGTTCTTTATCTTCAGTCCTTCAGGAGGAATTGGAGATAAGAGAAGGACTTCCTTTGCTAGTGCTAGGAAGAGAAATTCTAGACAGGGCCCCCATGGCTCTGCTGGCTGCTGCTGAGAGCTGCATTGTCTGCAGGTTGTACACTCCTACTCTAGGGTCACAGCATGGCCACAGTCAAAATTTTAGAACTGATTACACATTATCATAGAGGCTAAAAAGAGCTCATTGAAAGGAAATGTGTTATATTTGAAGGCATTTTTATTATATTTGCTAGGTATTTCCAGAAAGGCACAACCCTAAATATTTTCACTCAGAGGAGAATCCCACTGTATTTAGAATTACAGCCCTGATTCTAAGTATGCTTACTCCAAGGAAATCCCTAGACTTAGGAGAATTCGCTCCCAAAGCAATTGCAAAAGATTGCATTTTTCATTAATTCTGCAAAGTAAACACACATGTTTATCCATAGCCCTCCATGCTATTTGTGAAGAGCAGCTAAAATCTATACCAAAAGAAACAGGCATGGGATCTCCAGATAGCCTGAGGTTGCAGTCTTATGCTTGATTATGTGAAAGCAATTCCCACTGAACTAAGTGGGATTTACCTTTCAGTCAGTATACACCAAGAAGAGAAGGGGACAGCAGAGGATGAGGTGGCTAGATCGAGTCACTTGGGCTATGGGTGTTAGCTAGGGATAGGGGAGGACTGGAGAGCCTGGAGGAAGGTTGTCCATGGGTTCGTGATGGGTCAGGCATGACTTTGCAACTAATAACAACAACAAGTGTACACCAAATGTATGAAACAGCTTCAAGCTGCTACCCATCTTCAAAGGGGATGTGCACACTTTAATTCTGATCCTCCCCAAACTGTACAAGGGCCATCAGGAAGGATGTGTGGATGATTTCTCCGCTGCTGCTAGTACTCGTTTCTCCACTGCCAATCCTTCCTGGTCTTGGGGCTCCCTGTGGCATCTACTGGCCTCAAGCCCCTCTGCAGAACAAGATAGAGTACTACTGGAGTCGGCATGCACCAGCCTTCCCCAATCGGGTGCACTCCAGCCGCGTAGGTCTGCAACTACCGTGTGCCTGGCTGGGGGAGGGGAGGTGCTAGGAATTTTAGTCCATCCGATCAGGAGGACACCAGGATGGGAAAGGCTATTAAGTGCTGCCAGCTATTTGTTGCAGTGCTAAGATGGAAGAGGAAGGGGCTGATGGTCACTGTCATTCCCCGTGCGCCGTTAAGGTCAGAAGGAGAACCCTGCAGGGCCTGGAAATAATTCCTGGATGAACTAGGAGGCAAGCGGCGTCTAGAGGTGGGAAAGGGGCGTGGAGAAGGAGAGGGTCAACTGGGGTCGCTTGCGTGCCTTGGCCCCGAGTCCGACAGACCCACGGAGGGGACCCCAACATCACATCTGTCGCAAACCCCGTAACTCCCTGGGCGGACCTACCTAATCGCCGTCGTCTCCGGCCGAAGAAATGGAGATTCTAGGAGAGGTGGGAGAGAGGAGCGGAGACGCCGCCGTTGCTATGGGAGCAAAACGCGGAAGTCGCCGCGGCGTCTCCCCGATCTGATTGGTAGGCTTGAGGGAGGAGGCGGGGCAAAGTTAGGAGAGCGCGGGGACGGGTCGTCTTCGCGCGCGACATGAAGCTGGGTCGCCGAGCTGGACCAAGTTACTCTTCGCTTGGCAGCAAAGCGCTATCCCATGGCTGCCTTCTCCCGCCATCTTGCCTGTTCTCTCTTCGGCAACTCCCTGGTTTCGTTGGCCCATAAGTAGCTCGGGTCACGGTGGGAGTCGCTGGGTCATACCCACTCCCTTTCCTCTTTCATCCTCCCGGTCAGAGCAAAGGAGTTTCATTCCTTGCCATCGCCTCCTTCAAGCTTTTATGTGTTAGCTCCGTAAATCTTAAACCCTGCTATCTTCTGCACCTTACCCCAACTGATGGATCGGAAACCGTATTTTACAGTTGAACTATGACTGTAATGTAAAATAATATGCATTTATTTGACACCCTTCTGGTATGCACATATCTGAAGGAGTTTACACGGTCAAAGCTTCAGTCATCTGTTCCACCCTTCCAAGAATTTATGCTCTTATGTTTTGAGTTAGTTTTACACCTAGGTTTTATTATTTTGAGTTTTTAGAAATATATTGTGTATTTATATATTTGAAGTCTGCCTGAGAGATTTATACCCTAAAAGTTAGCTTACAATTTTTTTAAATAAATTAATGAATTAAAAGCCATAGATCTGTATCCTCCGTCATGGCAGTGGATCATCTGATTTTTCTGTCAGCATGTTGCAACCTGGAAACACTAAATCATAGTTGCTTTGTCTTCTGTATATGCCTTTTACCCAGCCAATTCAGTGCTGATGGACAAAGGAATGCATTTAGAGAAGTTCACGTGCTCAAATCTTCAATCATCTATTTTTAGGAGTAGAAATACGAAAAGTTCTTGTCTTTAAAAAAATTATGGCACTTCTGAAAGTGAAAACAAAACCTTTAAAAAATCTGTATATTCATTAGTGGATCAAAAAGGGAGAGGAAAATGCAGTCCTACTTGTTGCTTAGGGTACAGTCCTATTTTG